AATTAAAGGGATCCCTTTTATATTTGTGAAGAGAAACCACTCCAGTCAATCTCTGGCCAGCCTATGTATTGCCATCCTTGTGTCAGCTGCCCACCCTTTCTTTGGTCTACTCAGACAGGGTTGAGATGGGGGCACTTTTCATAGTATGGAGCGCTGGTACTTATAGCATCAGGCAAGCAGATGCCCTCAGGTGGGATTTGAGTGGCTCAGCCCTGGTGGCACTTGGGCTTCATGAAGCACCAGTTCAGCAATAACAGAGAGGCCATCTACCTTTAGCTAGAAATGTCAAGGTCAGGGAATAGGTTGCTTCTTCCAGGTACTATCTCTGTCTTTGGCCTCAGTCATAATTTTCCTTAATTTTAATTGTTTTAAAATGTGTTCTGCATTTTATACTGAATTTTTAGGAGCAGTTAATAATAATTATAGTTAATATTTTTGAAATTCCCTATGAGCCTGTCACTTTATGAGCATATTTCTGTACCTTAACTCCTAGAATCCTCATGACCACCCTCTAAGGTTGGCACTGTGATTATCATCTTCATTTTGAAGATGAAGAAATCTGATAATAGAGAAAATGAATTGCCTGAGATCTTTCAGTGAGTAATTAATAGAAACAGGATTTGAACCCAGGAAATCTGGTTCAAGCTGTCCATCTAACAAGACTATTTTAGGTAATCAGTCCCCTGTGGGGCTTATCAAGAAGTCCTTATTTTCTTAGAAATAATATTCTGATGGGGTAAATATATGTAAATATGCTTTTAAAATGACAAAATACTCTGTGTAAGCTATTTTTATTAAGCAAACATCTTAAATACATTAAATATACATTTGAGTCTGTGCAATGTCACAGACTTAAGATCTAGCATTTTCTGTGACCTTTGCATCTGTTTTTTACGGATGCACACCAGAAATTTAAATTTTTTCTTTTGCCCAGATTGGCAGAGTTTTCTTTTTTTTCTTTTGTTTTATTTTTTTGTTTCAATTTGTTATTGAAGTATAATTGATTTATAATGCTGTGGTAGTTTTTGGTGAACAGGAAAGTGATTCAGTTATATGTATTTTTTTTATCATATTCTTTTCCATTATGGTTTATTACAGGATATTGAATATAGTTCCCTGTGCTATACAGTAGGACCTTGTTGTTTACCTATTATATACATAGTAGTTTGTATTTGCTAATCCCAAACTCCCAATCCACCCCTCCCCCATCCCTCTCCCCCTTCGCAACCACAAGTCTGTTCTCTATGTCTGTGAGTCTGTTTCTGTTTCGTAGATAAGTTGATTTGTGTCATATTATGCTTCCACAAATAAGTGATATCATATGGTATTTGTTATTTTCTTTCTGACTTCACTTAGTATGATAATCTCTAGGTCCATCCATGTAGCTGCAAATGGCATTATTTAATTCTTTTTTATGGCTGCATAGTATTCCATCGTATATACGTACCGCATGTTCTTTATCCATTTATCTGTCAATGGACGTTTTGGTTGCTTCCCTGTCTTGACTATTGTAAGTATTGCTGCTATGAACATAGGGGTGCATGTATCTTTTTGAATAATAGTTGTGTCCAGATATATGCCCAGGGGTGGGATTGCTAGATCATATGGTAGTTCTGATTTTATTTTTCTGAGGAATCTCCATATTGTCTTCCATAGTGGCTGCACCAACTTACATTCCCACCAACAGTGTAGGAGGGTTCCCTTTTCTCCACACCCTCCCTAGCATTTATTAGACTTTTAATGGTGACCATTCTGACTGTTGTGAGGTTGGTACCTCATTGTAGTTTTGATTTGCATTTCTCTAATAATTAGCGATGTTGAGCATCTTTTCATGTGCCTTTTGGCAATCTTTGTGTTATCTTTGGAGAAATGTCTATTTAGGTCTACTGCCCATTTCTTGATTGGGTTTTTGGTTGTTGTTGTTATTGAGTTGTATGAGCTGTTTGTATATTTTGGAAATTAAGCCGTTGTCGGTCGCTTTGTTTGCAAATATTTGCTCCCATTCCGTAGGCTGTCTTTTCATTCTGTTTATGGTTTCCTTTGCTGTGCAAAGGAAACTTCCTTTGTAAGTTCGATTAAGTCTCATTTGTTTATTTTTGCTTTTATTTCTATTGCCTTGGGAGACTGACCTAAGAAAACATTGCTATCTATGAATTATGTCAGAGAATGTTTTGTCTATGTTCTCTTCTAGGAGTTTTCTGTGTCATGTCTTATATTTGTCTTTAAGCCATTTTGAGTTTACTTTTGTGTATGGCGTGAGGGAGTGTTCTAACTTCATTGATTTACATGAGGCAGTCCAGCTTTCCCAATACCACTCCCTGAAGAGACTGTCTTTTCTCCATTTTATATTCTTGGCAGAGTTTTCAATTAAGAAAGTTGACAATTTTTACAATAAGCAAGGATCAAGGCCCTAAAATACTTTGCTCCACTTAATACTTTGGATTTGGCAGGACTCTCTAACAAATGCAGAAAAGTGTCAGAAACACTTTAAATAAGTTAAGGTTTATATTAAGGGCAACAAACAATTTTGTTGGGTTTCTTGAGCTGTGGTTACAACAAGAATATAAACACATAGGTATAAGATAGGTGCTTGAGAAAGAAAGTAATCCATTACTTAGCATCTTCTATATGCATGGCCCCATGTTAAGCATTGGGAGATGTACCATGATGTATAAAACAACATTCCAAATTCATGTCATGGCCTTTTTTTCTGAACCACAAAAACAGACTTGAATATTCAATATGTGACTGCCTCAAGTCCTTTGTAATATCATCCAGCGCAGGCAGAAGCCAATAGCTCCATCCCTCGCACCTGTTATACCCTTGTATCTTTCTACCACTGACTGGTAGATAACTCCTAAGGATTTTCTCTTAAAAAAGACTTGACTGTTCACATTACATTAAATTGAAGCAGGTGAAAATTTATTTATCCTCGTATTTTATAGTAAGGGCTGTATGAGAAAAAGGCCATATTTACAAACATCTGTCTATAGACGGCTAGTCTTCTTCATCTTCAAGCAGCATGTTAGTTCTATTCTTGTTTTGTTTTGCACGTGTGCTTTTTAGAAAAGACCGTAATTTGCTCTGTAGTCTTGATTTCCATTTTTTTGGTGAAGTTGTTCAAGGTCGTCATGGTCCATATCCATCAATCATGCCTGCTTCACAGATTTCCTTTGTCAGTAGTACGTATCAGTCAGTATGATTAATGGTTCAGGGTTCATATTCAGGAATCTGATTGGATAACTGTCATTTCATTTGTTGGAACTGACAATTCAAAAAATATTGATAAAGTTGTCCAAGAAAAGAGAGTAATGCAAGTCAGTTTTACTTATTATGAACAATAAAGCTTGGTAATTTGTTGGTATAAATAGGCTCTATACTCCAGTGTATTTCCTGGGCCTGAGGGAAGGCATTAACCCTTTTTAAGTGACTATACCACAGCATTAAGTGGTAGCTCTGTGATGTGAAAGAGTGAATATCATGCTATGTTGAACGTTTCATCACTGGTGAATCAGGGTCCGTGACCTCTTTAGTAAAACCTTACTTTTGTTCTGTTTCTAACAGGGAGTAGTAATTATTTACTTACTTTTAAAAATATATGTATTTATTAATTATAAAATTACTTAATTACTTAAGAGGTGTGCTTTTTTTAAAGAATGATAGATGTTTATTATTAAAGATAATATAAAGATTATCAAAAACTTTTCAAAAATCCTCTGAAATACTACTGTTAAAGATGATTTTTTTAAAAATGTATTTATTTATTTTATTTTATTTTTGGCTGTGTTGGGTCTTCGTTGCTGTGAGCGGGCTTTCTCTAGTTGTGGCGAGCGGGGGCTACTCTTCGTTGTGGTGGCTTCTCCTGCTGCGGAGCACAGGCTCCAGGCGCACGGGTTTCAGTAGTTGTGGCTCGCAGGCTCCAGAGCGCAGGCTCAGCAGCTGTACCACACGGGCCCAGCTGCTCCGTATCATGTGGGATCCTCCCAGATCAGGGCTCAAACCCATGTCCCCTGCATTCGCAGGTGGATTCTTAACCACTGTGCCACCAGGGAAGCCCTAAAGATGATTCTTGATCTTAGAGGAGATCTTAAGACAGAGGGGCATAGGGATGATGGAGTATTGAAAGAGACTCAAGTGTTTTCAAGAAATTTAGTGAATGATAAAAGGTGTATTTTAAGTCAGTGTTTTTTTTTTGTTTTTTTTTTTGTCAGTTGTGTTGATACAGATGGGGTTTTTTTTGAGGAAAATCAGCTTGTTCTCAACTCACTCTTGATACTTATGTAAACTTCACACATATCAAAGATTTTTTTACAGTGAAATTATAAAATTATTATGATTAAATATGTTAATATTCTAAAACGTTGGTTTTAGAAGGCCTTTTAAAATGTGTCAGAAGTCCAGAAATTAAAAAAGGAAAAAAACTAAATTTGACTGAATAAAGTAGAAAAACTTCAGTATAGCAGAAAACAAACAAAACACTGCAAAATCATAGACAAAATTAAAAGAGAAAACAAAGTGGGAGGAAATGACAACACATGACAAAGTTAATTAGAGCAATCTATAAAAATAAGAAACTAAAATAAAGAAATGCACACAGAGAAATACTTCTTCACAGAAGGGGAAAAATCAATAAACATATGCTTTCTTAATGTCCAGGGTATCAATAAGCATATACTTTACTAGTATTTTAAAAATCCATAGCACATATTTTATTAGTATTCCAGGAAATTCCATTATAATCAACAGATGGAAAGGATTTTATTGTCAATAAGCCCGTGAAACTTAGTTGTCTCATTTTTCCAGATTATGTGTTATGTAGACAGCATGTAGTCTCTTTACCGATAGAAGGGGTGGGATAAGACCAGCAGTGTCATATATGATTCCACATGGAAGTCCAAGAATATCTTGGGATTTTCTAATTCACATATCAGAGAAAATGCTCTTTTTAGGTTATGAGATATATTTATAATTTTAATACACAAATAAGTGAATGATCAAAATTGTTCAAACTATAGTTTTTGAATATATTCTCATGGTGGATATTTATGCCTCAACCACTATGAAACTCAGACTGTTATTGAAAAGAACCTTTCCCTCTTTCTTTACACTGAATTCAGGCTTTTGCAGATCTTTCATAATTTCTGCTTTGAGATCAGGTGGTGCTGTTGTACTAAAGTTGCAGGTTTCTGTCAAAAAATCCCAAAGCAGGTCTCCATTTTCATTGCCATCAATAAAACAGTCAGATATGTCCATGGTGGACAGAAGGTCATAACACTCATACTTAATCCCCAACTTGTCCAGCATCTGCATGAGGTCAGATGACGTGACATACTGGCAGAGGTCATCCCGGGGTAAGTGAGATCCGTACTTTTTCCATAGCTTGTCCCAGCCACTGGTTCCTGTGCAACAGAACAAAATTCATGCTTTCAGCTATTTTTCTTTTCCTTTACCTACTCTGCCAACCAGTACACTAGATGCTTGGAATAGAGCAGTCAATTTAAAAAAAAGAAATTCTTGCCTTTGTGTAGCTCAGTTCAAGGAGTGAAGGGGGTGGGAGGAGAGAAAGTTAAATAAATAAGTAAATAAATCATATATCAGATGGTGCAGAGTGCTAATGAAAAACAAATCAGAGCAAGGAATAAGGGGGATCAAAGAGTTGGATGGGTTGCTGTTTTATATCAGGTGGTTGCAGATATTCTCTCTAATAATGTGACATTTGAGCAGAGACATGACAGCAATCCACACAAATATCAGAGAGAAGATTACTCCAGGTAGAGAGAAGAGCAACTGCAAAGGACCTGAAGCAGGAACAGGCTTGGCATGTTAAGAACTAGCCAGGAAGCCGGTGAGATTGGAATTGAGTGAACAGAGGGGAGCATGGAAGGAGAGGAGGTTGTATGGGTGATGGTGAGGAGTAGACCGGGTGCTAAATCATATGGAAAAAGATGAGAAGCCATTGTAGTGTGATCTAATAGAACTTTCTGGACTCTTGGACATGTTCCATATTTGTGTTGTCCAGTATCGTAGCCACTAACCACTTTATGGTTATGGAACATGTAAACTGTGGTAGTGTGACTAAGGGAGTGAATTTTAAGTGTTACTTCATCTTAATTCATTTCAGTTTCAGTAGCCAACTGTGGCTTCCATATTGGACAGCACAATATTAGAGTGACTTAACCTGATTTGCATTTTCATAAGGTCACTCTGGCCACACAGATGGACTATTCTCTATTGAGAGTAGACTATAGGGGCGTAAGGACAGATCAGGAAGAACAGTAAGAAAGCTACTGCAATAATCTGGGTGTTAGATGATGTTACGTTGCACCAGCAAGATTGGAGGTGATGAGAAGTGGTTGAATTTTTTATATATTACACTCCTAGATCCAATGCCATTCGCTAATGATTTGGATATTGTTAACAATAATAATTTGGATAGTGAAAGAAAGAAAAGAATCAGTGATGACCCCAGTCATTTTGGCCCAAGCATCTGAAAAGAGAAAATTGCCATTATTGGAAATGGGAAGAATGAGGGAAGAACATGTTTAAATGTGTTATCAGGCATCTGGTTTTGGAGACATAAGGTTGAGGTCCCCGTTGGACATTCAGGTGGTGATAGGAGGAAGGCAGTTGTTTATGTTAGTCTGGTTCAGAGGAAAGGGTCTAAGAGTAAAAATTGAAATAGAAAGAAAGAGCACAGCAAATACAATGATAGTTTACCCAAACCAAAGATGGGGTAGCCTCTCATGTCTATACAATTACAGGATGCTGCCTTGGACAGCAACAACTAGGTTGAGTCCTAAAACTTTTGTCCCCAGCTTTAGAAGATATATTAGCAGTGTATGTTGTATTTAGTTGAAAACCTGGCCCAGTGTAGAAGCTAAGAGATACAACATCTGTGGGAGAGATAGGTTGAACTGTTCTGACACTTCATGAATGAGATGAGGTTTGTTATTTAGTCTCTCAGAACCTCAGTTTTCTCATCTATAAGATAGAGATAACCATACTTACCTCAAATGCAACTGCAAGTATTAAATGAGATAATTGAAGTGAATCATTGCTCAATGGTAAGCACATGGCAGATGTGTAATAAGAACTTACAAAATAAATGAATATTATATGGAATTACTTTGATAATGTATTTCCACTGGTTGTAATCTTGAGAATGTAAAAAAACAAACTTGCTTTTCAGAAATCTGTAATAATACTAATAAATCAAAACAAAAGAACAGCTATTTATGGACTTTCTAATATACGCATCTAATAGTGGGCTGTTACAGAGATAGTGGATATGTGCAGCAATTAAGAGTGGTCTCTAAAGCCTGACTTTCTGAGTGTGAAGCCTGGCTTTTCCTCTTACTAGCTTTATGAACCTGTGCCTCAGATCTGTCATCTATAAATCAGGGATAATAATAGAATATCTTCATAGGATTGTTCCAAGGATTCACCAAGTTAATAAAGTAAGGCACTTAGAACCATGACTGGCACATAGTAAACACTGCTGAATTGTTAGGAAATTAAGTTGGACTTGGCCAAAGCAATATAAGAGAGAACTTACAACTATGAGTTTCCAGGATTAAAAGTTAAGATTTCAAAGGCATGAACTTTTTTGGTTCCAAAAGCTCCTTTATGATGTAATGAAGGTAATCGGACTCTTCAGAAAAGTATACAAACACTATATAGCCACACAATTCTGCATATAATTATAGGATGTTGGCCTCATCCATGGGCTTGGCTAAAGTCTCCTGATTTAATTCAACAAAAGAGAATAACCAAGGCAGAGAATGGTAAATAATAAATAGCCTAGATAATTGATGTTCCACTAACATTTCAGAAGAGGGAACGATAACTACAGGATAAGCTCTAGAAGAAGGTAGAATTGGAATGAAGCAGAAGAAAATAAAACCTCAGTTCAGTGGAAAAAAAAATGAGGGTCATGAGCATGTACTACAAAAATCTTTCATTCCAAAGACAGTGACTGCCTAAATAAGAATTTGCCTGCAAACAAGACTACAAGAAAATAAATATTTCAGTGGTTGAGGAAAGGCTCTGTTATCATTATTATTTTTCTTTTTTCACCGTGGCAGAGAAAAAAGAGCCAAACACTAATTGCGGAGAATTTGCTGGTGTCAGTGTTCTGTGACTCAGTGCCATTTCTGAGCTGAGCAATTAGAAACTTTCTGACTGATACATTATCATAATGGGCACAACATATGGTGTTACTTTTGTTTTCAACATGATATAAACCAGGTCCCTCGCCCCCACCCCCCTTATTAAAAATAAAACACCATGATTTGCCTCCTTCCTTAGATAAGGAGAGGGCAAGACAGAAAATGTCACTGATCTCCTGGCTAATCTCCTGTAACCAGATAAGTTGCATTTTAATTAGCAACTCTCTCAACGAATGCCTGGCTACTACATTTGCAGAAAAACACGCCACTAACATTATTTTAGTGTGGGATACTCCTCATTTTAAAAATCCACCTCTTCTTATTTCTCTTCTTTTTCATCCCCAAATCAAATCTTTTATCATTATAATCAGGAACTTCAGTTTGTTATAAATAAATAAATATTTACTGAGCTGGGCTATCTCATTCATGGATACTTAGGAACCGGAGGAAAGCCTCTGTTCTGCCTATTTCGGTGTGCACTGTGTGCGTGTGAATATGTGTATCTTCTTTATTGAGTCTTTTATTCCTGTTTATTAAATCCATCTTCAAATCTTCAGAACTTTCTGTATTCTCTGATTCCATGTCTATCACGTTAGCTAAAACATGGTATCTTTTTTTGAATGGACATTCAGAACTAGTTGTAGTTGGGATAGTATAAGGCAAAAATAATAAACAATTATTCAGTTCAATTCAAACACATTCACTGGGTGTCTTCTTCTAGTTGCCAAGGGTTTTGCAAAGATCTGGGACTAGAGATAAGAGGCAGAGCCTCTTGCTCTCCAGGAACTCTCCTTAAACTCCCTATCTGCCTCTGATCAGAAATTAGCACCTTTTTGAAAGTATGTAGGTGTCTGAATCCTCCATTAGATTAGGAGCCTTTCAAAGGCAGAGGAGTAACAGTCATCTTTGCAACCCCAGAGCCTAGCAGTGACCAACTAGAAGAGCTCAATAAAAGCTGAATGAACCAAATCTACATGACTATCCTATGCAGTCAACTTGGGACCAAGAGTGTAGGCTGTGTTTGAATATGCTGAATACACCTGTCACCTTAACCAAGCTGGGTGCCCTGCATAATTAAATCTAGAAACTGACCCCATATTTCATTATCTTAGAATCTAATAAATTGCAAACAGTGGGTGTCCATATGGTGCTCAAATAACTGAATAATTCAGTTTATTCACAGAGAGAACGCATCAGTTCAGTAACAGGTCAGTGTCTGACTCGGATGGACAGGCAGAAGCCTTAGCTGTGGGGCATATTTAAGATGACCTTTTAGAGCAAGATGTTAATCCAGACATACCATTATGTGCTTAGGTGAGATACTGGCTTGATGAGTGTTCTTAGAAATTTAATTTAGTGACTAGTTCTAGGCTTGTCTGACTCTGTTGGCATCGAGTACTCAGTTTGCTGTATTGCAGTGAGGCTATGGATGAGAATGTTGCCTGAAAAGAAAGGAAATACACAAACAGGCTTCTTCACTTCTGGGTAATTATGAAGCAAATTCCATTTAGAAAGTGACTGCAACAAATGTGATATAAACAGATATAAACAGATATAAAATGTGAACCATTTTGGTGTAGGTGTTTCAAGTTTTAGGGTACTATTCAAGTTTAAGGAATGTTTTCATTGGGCAAGTATGAAAAATGGGGGTTCAAGTTGGGGCTGAGAAGGTAGTTTAGGGTAATGGTTTTTCTACAGCGGTAAGGTAGGAAGTTGATCAGGCACCTCAGATGACCTGGGGAGCTTTCCCAAACCTGTCTGCTATCCACAGACTGGTCTGGCAGATAGGGATTTGCAGTGATATCATCAAATGAAAGAGTGACTAATAAAAATGTGGATCAATTCTATACATGTTAATTGACAACGATATAAAACAAATCTGATTGGAAAGTTCTTGCGATTAACTTTGTTTTCACTGTTGGAAATTGACTATGCTCTATTTTCCTGAAAGTTGACCCCTATATTTGTATCAGCTTTATTAATGCGACAGAGCAGTTCTTGCTATTTTTAAAAAAGAAGACCATAGGCACTTCCATACACCGAGGGGCCAACAGAATTTATCTCAGAGAAATATACTGTTGTTAAGATGGGTTTATAGGTGCACAGGTTTATCTAGGTCAGAGAGGCAGAGCAAAAGGGAGTTAAACTGCTCTAGGTAACAAATAAGAGGGGTAGAAGGGGGAAGTAAGGAGCTGATATCTTAGGAAAGAGCACGGGAGTTAAGAGGTTGTGTGTTACCAGTGTTTTCCTCTTTGGGATACCTGCCTCCCACGCTGTGTGCAGTAATGAAAAATTGTAAGCTGTGTGCTGAAAAAGTTAGTAAAACATCTCCACCGTCAAACTACAGAATGAATAAGTTTTGACTCAAAATACCTTTTTTTATGAACGCTAACTGGTTTTTGCGCTTTTACTCCCTTTCTTTGATTTTTTTCCCCCATGAATGTATATAGACATAATACATGTGAACTACATGTATGCATAGATGCCGTATTATGTAGGTATGATTATCTGGAAATAGGCCTTGCATGAACTAAGACTCACAGACCAAGTTCACACAGCTAGGAAGTACCTCAGCATCCTTGATTTTATGTATCACCCTGCATTTCACTGGGCCTGTTTTGGTTTACACATATCCTGATGCCAATAAACCGTGGATTCTATTAACGTATTCATGATGTAGCCAGCAGAATACTGTATCAATAAGGGCACTTAGTCCATTCTCAGTTGCTTATAGACTGCTCATGCCACTTTCTAAGCCTTAGGCTGGCTTTTTCTTATTGGTAGGCATATACTCATGGAGAGCTGCCTTCTGACACTCAAATACTTGACTTCTGAAAATCTTTAAGATAAACCAAATATATATAACAGTAGATCTGCATTTGATATGAAATATATCCTAAAATCAAACATATATGACTACTGGATGAATTGCTATTTCTGTCTGCAACACTGTTTCTTTATTATTGATACAGATTATCAAGAATAGACTGTCCTCAGTGTTGATAACTAAATTTACTTCTGTATTCCTAAATGCAGTACAAAGTGCTTTACCCAGGTGTCCTAATTTAGAGAGAGTTTGGTGGGAAACATCCAGTTTACAGAAGCCCTTCTAAATGGTAAGATAGAACTCTCCCACCCAAATGAGTATTTTTAACTAACCTGAGATAAAAATAGTATATCAAATGTTCCCTTAGAGGAGAGGTTGTGTACAGGAACTCTTCATTTGCCAAACTCCCGCATGAGTTCAAACCCAGGGTTATAGGCAACAGCTATGTTTGCCATCCTTAAAGCCATTCCTCATATTTAAGAATACATGGGTACTTCCCTGGTGGCGCAGTGGTTGAGAATCCGCCTGCCAGTGCAGGGGACACGGGTTCGAGCCCTGGTCCGGGAAGATCCCACATGCTGGGGAGCAACTAAGCCCATGCACCACAACTACTGAGCCTGCACTCTAGAGCCCGTGAGCCACAACTGCTGAAGCCCGCGCACCACAGCGAAGAGTAGCCTCCACTCATAGCAATTAGAGAAAGCCCACGGCAAGCAACGAAGACCCAATGCAGCCAAAAATAAATAAATTTATAAAGAAACAAAGAATAAATGAATTTTGCGACATATGGTTTCTGAGTACAGGCTCTGGTATAAGCTTAGGGAGATAGAGTCTGCTGTGTACGTGGAGTGAACCTGCCTAGCACTGTGTGGACAATCCACAAAGACTGCTGAATGAAAGAAGTAATGAATTAATGAATGCAACAATGTCAGTGTTTCATTTGCTAATCTGTTCACTTATGTTCTCTGTGTGGTACTTATTGTATCATTGGAAACAACATGACATGATCAAATGCCTTCTTTGGAAAATAACACGACAACACAAAACAAAACAAGTGGACCATTTTTGATACTTATTTGAGAAAACCTAAATGAACATTGATAATGGCTCTAGAAATGCAAATTAATCAAATATGATAGTGTCCCAAATATTTAAACCTTTATTTTATTGATATTTATTAATAAACATCACAGAAGAGAAAGAGACATTCAAGAGACAAAAAGGTGGTAAATAGAAATATTTACTATTTTTACTCTCATTAAAAACATTCCTATCTGTTGTATTTGCTGTATGTTAAATAAATATTTTTTATATAGAGACAACAAGGATATATTTGCCCGAGAGAAAGAAGTAAACAGACATTTAATTCCACTGGAACTCCTAAATTGAAAGCTGTTGTGAAGGATTTTCCTAATACTGTGTTAATTAATTGACTCTGATCAGAAGCCAAATCAAGAATTTCATAATGAAGATGAAATATACCAGCTGCCTTCAAACACATACATCCATGCGCTATCACTGTTTTAAAATTCAGGCTGAAGGGAAATAACTTACCGGACACAAGAGTAATGAGAATCTTAGCACTGGTAGCTAAGAGACTATGGAAGAATTTCAGGGTGGCTGGGATGTCTTTTACATAATACAGCATCTAGAAATGAAGGAAGAGAGAAATGAGATGCTTTTCTATGTCAATGTCTTTGTTGCTTGGACTAAATACTCACTAGAAGGTTTGATGTTCAAGTTGAGTGGATTTTTATTCAACAAAACACTTAAGAAATTTAAAAATTAAAGTTATATATAGAGATAGAATAATAGTGTGAGAAAATATTTGGGGAACGGGGAAACTATGGGATTTACTCAACTAGAGTCAAACAGCTTAAACTTTACTCTTTCTGGCTTCATTAACACAGACATTAATAGCTCGAGACAGTCTGCATTCCACATGGGGGCACTGAATTCTAATGCTCACTCTATATTTTGAGAGTTTTAGTAGTTCTGGGCAAAAATGGTGCTGGCACCGTAAAAACATTCCATTTCATGGAGCGTTGCTTTAAAATTAAGCCCTTTGCACTAGCTTCACCGTAGACTCACAGATGCTTTTCTTAAAATCATGGAAAATGTGACAGGCTTTGATGTTGACAGATTCTCTAGGGAAATGGACTGGATAAAGCCTAAAGTTACATGCATGGTTCCAGGGTGCTAGGAGTCAGCCCACCCTTTTTTTTTTTTTTTTTTTTAATAGATCTTTATTGGAGTATAATTGCTTCACAATACCGTGTTAGTTTCTGTTGTTGCACAACAAAACGAATCAGCCATACGCATAGATTTGTCCCCATATATCCCCTCCCTCCCATCCTCCCTATCCCACCCTTCTAGGTGGTCACAAAGCACCCAGCCGATCTCCCTGTGCTATGCTGCTGCTTCCCACCAGCTGACTATTTTACATTCGGTAGTGTATATATGTCGATGCTACTCACTTCGCCCCAGCTTTGCCCTCCCACCCCGTGTCCTCAAGTCCATTCTCTATGTCTGCCTCTTTATTCCTGCCCTGCAACTAGGTTCATCAGTAGCTTTTTTTTTTTTTTTTAGATTCCATATATATGTGTTAGCATACAGTATTTGTTTTTCTCTTTCTGACCCAGAGTGAAGTAAGCCCACCCATTTTTAATAACTGAACCATCTCTGGTGAAGTGCAGGGAGAGGTCTTTCCACCCAGCACGGATAGAGCTTGGAATTAAACACTGGCAGTAGAAAATTTTCCCTAAGGACTTACATCGCTGGAATCTACCACCATAGACACTTCTTATGTCTCATCTTCAGCTCTCTTAAATAGGAATTCAATGTTTTATGTAGATGCCATGATAGAATTTATTGCGTAAAGCAAAAACAACCTAAGCTATGCCCCTCTCACACAAATGAATGAAATACAATGGAGCTGCACACGGCTTGTGCAGCATCACAGGCCATATTTAGTATCATGTCACTCCATGCTGTTCATCACAGGGACCATACATAGACAGGCACCCAGATGCAGCTAATCCACAAGATGGCTAACCATCCATGACATGACCTGGCTGAAAAGAGGAGGTGGGTCATAGCAGATGCTCTGAAATTTGATCTAATAGACACAGAATCTCTGCAGTTGATTATGAATATTAAGTTGAAGGATGTCATGAGAATGCTAGGACCGCAAGGAGCAATAGAGAGACAGAGAAATAGCACAGAAAAATGCAGAGTAGATGGAGCGGGACAGAGGAGTAATCAGAGGAAGCAGAGTTGCTATAAGAAAGAAAGAACAGACGTGGAGCTTTTGAGAGAAACTGGAGAATGATCTCTGAAGCTGCAACATTATATAAGAATTATATATATATATATATAATTATAGATATAAATATAGTTATAGATATGGATATATTTAAGTAGCTAGATAGTGCAGCAACTGCCATTAATTCTGTACACTAAAGAGAACATTCTTACATATAGTTTTCATTTTGTTTTATGTCATATTACCTTATTTATAGCATTCACTGGTATGTTTGTAGAATACAGATTTTTTAAAATGCTAAAAAAAAAGAATTTTATAAGAGTGGGATCCAGAGCATACGTGGAGGGATTGGCTTTTGATAAAGGGAGGCTTTTGTAATAAGAGGAAAGAAAGACATGGTGCGTACAGGTGCAGCTATGTTTAAATTTGGAGAGTGAAAGATGATTTTCTACCTGTTGGTTTCTCTTTTTGCTACAGAATAGGACGTGAGGTCATCAGTTGGAAATGAGTGGTGGAGGAGGGATTACAGGAGGTATAAGGAGAGGGAGGGAGGTATGAAATAGTTATACAGGTGACCCTTGAACAAGGCAGGGGTTAGGAACACCAACACTCTGTGCACAAATATTCACACATAACACAGAGCTGGCCCTCCCTATATGCAGTTTCTCTGTTTCTGGGGTTCTGCATCCAGTCATGTAGCATTTATTATTGAAAAAATCCACATATAAGTGGACCCATGCAGTTCGAACCTGTGTTGTTCAAGGGCCAGCTGTTTGAGAAGGTGGGAAAGTAAGTCTCGTAGAGAAACATTAGGTTTGCTGAGCAATGTTAAGCACTCCCTTATAGGTAAAAGATTTTGTCCGCTAAGAAAGCAAAGATGTAGGATTGCCTGGTTATGCTGATTTTGGAGTCATTTCTTCCTATGATTTTAAAAACTTTATTCCTTTGGGATGACTGTGCTTGTGGACTATAGAAAGCAAGAAGCATCTTGTTGTTCATCGTGGTATTTCTAAAATATACACATCTTTTAATGGTAGCCAACACCCAAAGCCTATACACCTACCTATATGCTCTCCAGATATGTCAGTGACCTCTGGAAGTATGTCCCCATACCACCTACTGAATTGTCTCCCCCTTTCCAAGAAATACACTATCGTATTTCTAAGAAATACACCATCGTATTTCTAAGAAATATACTATAAATGCTGGACCATGGAAACAAATTTCCTATGTAATGACTGACTAATGTCAGTAACACTTTGTTGACCTGAGAAATCATCTAGCCTGCCCTTCTGTCATGTGCACACGAGCCAGGTCATCAAAAGAAGCAAAAGCAAGAGGACTCAGAAAAACTCTGGGATGTTGGTCCATCCAGACCATTAGAGTTACTGGAGAATTGTGTTAGGATGTGTTACACTCTACTATCTATGAACTTTCAATCCCACAAAAGTTAAGCCAGCATTGAAAAACAAATCAGTAACTATGGGGGTATTTTGCATTGAGAAAACTGGCTTTTTAAATGTTACAGAGAATCTCTTAGTATTGTCAACATCTTTAACTTCAATTTGGACAGATAATGGTCACTTGTAAAATCAGAAATCAGATTTTCATTTTTCTTTTTAAAGTTAAAATATTAGGTACTCTGAAATATTTCTGCAAAACCTTTCTTCTGAGAGTATATAACAATAAATATTTCTTACCTGAATCATATGAATAAAGTTCCACTTCTGAAGTTCTTTTTTCTCCATCATTCTATTTTGATATTCGGATGATGTCTCCTTATGCCAAGTAAACTTTATGTTCTCGAGGTTTGATGTCTTTGTTACAAGCTCTAAAATACGGAGAAGAGGTGGCACACCATCAATTTTAACTGCAAATTCGGAACCCATTTCCATTTAGAATTTTAGTGCAATCAGTGTTATATACGTAACAGATACAAAGCACATTTTTCTTTTTTACAAATCTCCAGAAGACCAAAGAGTTAGTTCATCCTAGTTTTTCCTCTAGTGTTAAATGAAATTAGAGAATGGAGTCAATAAGAAATAATTATGAGAATCCTGATCAGACATAGGTACTATTATCTCAGTGTTAACGGGAAATCAACTGGTGAATTTTATCAATGGAAAATTGATGTAAGACAGGTGATATGACTCTGTAACTCAGGAATCAGCAAACCATGGCATAGGCCATATCTTCCCACCACCTATTTTTAAATAGACTGCAAGCTAAAAATATACACTACTTTCTGATTTCATGCTTCTTTCATATCTTGTGCCATCACACTTTTAAATGGTTGAACAAAATCAAAAGAAGAATAATACTTCATGATAGGTAAAAATGATATAAAATTCAAATTTTAGTGTTTATAAAGTTTTATTGCAACATACCCACACTCATTAGTGTATGTATTATCTATGGCTGCTTTTGGGCTTCAGTGGCAGAGCTGATTAGTTGTGACAGAGACCATGTGGCCCTCTAAGTCTAAAATACTTACTCTCTGGCCCTTTTTAAAGAAAAGTTTCCTGATTCCTGCTGTAAGCAATGAAACGTAAGCTCTTTAAGGGCAGGGATTCTGTTTAAATACCTCTGAATGAATTAATGGCTCTGTCTCTAAGAATAAATATCAAAGATAATAGTTGATGACCAGGGGAGGGATGGAGAGTCAGTAAAAAAAAAAGGGGGGGGGATTCTAATCACTATTTATATTCTGAGATGTTTAGTCATTCCTGCCAAGAAAACAAACTAATCAGGTTCTTCTCTCAATAAGCTTACAAAGAACATACCACAGCAGCTATGTTGTTAATGATTGAAGGGACGCATTTGGGATGATAGGCCTTTCAGAATAGAATTTGATATACAGCACCATGGATTACAAGTACCTTTGTACTTGGCGATTTGTTCAGCACTTGGTTCAACAACTTCATTGTTGATACTAACTCCTGGGTATTGAGCCTGCACTTTGGAGAGGATATGAAGATCCATTTCACCTGGAAGAAAAGCATAGGGAACAGATCACCTCAGTCCAGAAAGAAATGATTAAGAATAATTTGAACGAGTTTATTATCTCTAGGAAAGCCCAGCATAAATAAAGAATAATACTCAGCTGTTGCCCTGCCACAATGTCTATGATGCAGAACAGCTAAGTTGTAAGTAGGAATAATAATGTGATTTGAGGAGGGCTATGATTGCTATTCATTCATTCATTCATTCATTCATATAGCCTTTATTTAATATCAATTATTATATTACAGTAAGTCTAAGATGCCCTTCATTATAGGATGCAAACAGCCCTTCTTTTTATATCACTAAATCAGAAAAAACACTGTCAATTATAATTTTAAGATTTCATCAACTGGAAGATGTATATCAATTTCAGAGATGTTAAGTATGAAAAAAACATGCCATAGAATTGATAAATTAGGCTAGGCCAGATGCATACAAAATATATGTCAAATACAAAATATGTCAGGTATAAAAAAGGATTAAAAAGTATATCAGACACGTGCCCTCAAAAACACCATGGTCTAGTGGTATAGACAGACATGGAAAGAACGCTGGCTGGGTTGGACCAAGGTGGGAAGGAGAAAGGAGACAGCGAGGGAGAGGATAGGAGGAGAGGCCAGAGAGAGGGAAAGCTTCATGGCAGATCACTCCTGAGTTCTCTGTTACAGGGTAAGTGGAAGTTAGCCCAGGGACTTCTGGGGAAATGGGAATTGCAGGTAGAGAGGACAGGAAGTCAGGAAACAGAATCGTATATGTGGGACTACTGGCAATTCAGAGTTTTGGAATGTTAGGCAAGGCAGTGCCTCCATGAAAGAGGTGATCCCAGAGAGGTAAATGGATAGGAAGTTATGGCAGAATAGATATTTATGCATTAATTCATGCACCAATGATTAATTATTTACTATGTGCCAGGCACTACACTAGGCTCTAGCAAATGATGATAAGAGGAGCAAATAGATACCTGCCCTGATGAAAATTTAGCCTGTAGGTGACTATGTAAGAGAGATAGATGATGGTAAGTTGGATAGACTTGAGTTCCAAACCTGTCTGATCCGCTTACTTGGTATTATGACCTTTGGAGATTTGCTTTATCTCTCTAAGGTGCATTTTCCACATGAGAAAAACAGCAATATTAATAGCACATCATTTATTGGGTGAGAGGATTAAATGAGGCAATGCATATAAAGCACAGTGCAAAATAGAGTTGGCACCTAATAAATGTTAGCTGTTCATTATTTTTATTGTTATCATTGAGTCCTTCTCTTTAAAAATCTCTCTTCTTTCCC